CACTTAACAATCAATATTATAACCCCCATTAATTTCATTTTCAGAGGAAAAACTGTGGAACACTGGAAAAATCGAAAAACTTAATTTACAAAATTAGTAGTCAATACAATAACTCAATAAGTTACCTTGGTCCTCGGAGCTTGGAAGTTGTACTTGGAGTCGGAGACTGGAGTTGGGCTGCTTGCTTGGGCAGAGCTCGAAACTGTGTCTGTGTGTGGTGTTGTGGGAGAGACTGAGAGAGGAAGGGCGAACACGGAGTCGAAGAGGTAGGGTAGAGCTCGAAAGTTGAAACTGTGTGTGGTGGTGGTGTTGTGGTGAGGTGTGAGTCGTGTGACCGTGTGAGAGAGGGCTGGTAGCCGGCTGGGCTAATTCTGCTGTCGGGAGAGAGACGGGGAAGAGTGGAGACGGGAGATTGGAGTGGAGACGGGGGGAGAGTCGGAGACGAGAGTGGAGAAATTAGGGATTTCAAGTTTTGATACAATATTTTTTTTTCCTTTATATATTTAAAAAAAAAAATTCAAAANAGTCAAAATCCGGGGGGGGCACGTGACCCCCCAGGTCCGCCCCTGCCCCCCTATATCCATCAGTACCACCACCATAGCTTTACCCATTGCCATATCCTCCACGACTGCCAACATTTCTAAAGCCCCTAGCGCCATCATACAATTGTAGGAGCCGGGCAAATACTTACACAAAAGATGATCTGGGATATATTTTCCCAAAAAAAAATGTTTGATTTATTTCGATCTCTATTTACTTTATCCATTACACTTTTTCATCTTATGCTCTACATTCTAGTTATTAGTCTTGACGTGGTTGCCGCGTGAGGTACTATTTATTTTAAATGAACTCATCATGCGATGCTCTATGATGCAAAAAATTATAAGCTTGTCATGGCTAACACAAAGAGCACTGTTATTTCAAATGGAATCATACATATCTCCTTGATGGAATCCTCAGTGACATTGAACGGGATTTAGGCATAATGATTAGTTATGATGAGGCTTGGAGAGCCAAGGAGAAGGGACGAATTCTTGTTATGGGTCTGTGGGATGGAATTCATTAACATACCCACGCAAATTCATTACTACCAAGGGTTATACTACATATATACCCAATTTTTTACAAATAGAATTGTACTTACTACTAAATAAGCAAGAAAGATATTCAGATGGTTCCCAACAATTAAAATACTTGTACACATATTGCATATACATATATGCACAACGCACTGTCACGCACACGAACACACACATATTTATATAGCCCTTATTTGGTAGAGATTAAAATCAGATTTTTAGTACAATGACTTGATATTTTAATTCAAACCAAATAGGGGCATATATTTTTAATCTATTGATTTCTGTTTTTGCAGACCCACTTTACGGATCAATAATTGAACTATATTTTTCATAGTTCAGAAAGAGCTCTAGATATCACTTCGAAGCATTCATGCTGTATTACGAAATATGTAATTTGAAATAAAGTACCGATAAACAGTTTACTTGAACATTTGACTCAAGGGTGATTGCCAGAAATTAAATTCGAAATCATATTTCTCTTCCTCTTACATCAAGTGTTTGTCTGACCTCAATGATAAACCTATCATATTATTCCATGATTGGTTTCGTAATTATTCGGTATAGTTGAATTTATGTCACACATGAGGTTGAACTATTCCCAAAGAACTGGATGCCAATATATTTGGTTTTTCTTGTAAAGAATTTGATTAATAAAAATGAAGTAGACAATTTTAGTGCTAAGAATCGATCCAAGTTCACACCCATCCAATTTTAGTGCTGAGGTAAAAAGTTGTCGATAATATATTTGAGAAAAAAGAATCGAACCAAGTTCATCGATGATTTTTCTTTTCTTTTCTACCGATACGAAACAGGCTAATTGATAGTAAATATTTATTACTACACATGAAAATGTTTAATTAGTTGTATTTTTAGAATTTTCGATAGTACTTTATTGGTTTAGAATTCCTCAATAACAAGTATTATTGAGCGAACAGGTTAATTACACCAATGGTAAACAACTCTAAACTTGTGTTTCGCTAACAGCTGCATGAATAATTACTTGTTAAAACATTAAGATAAAATTTTAGGTGACATCATTAAGCCCCTGTTTGTCGTAGATTAAAATCAAATTTTAAATAGATTTTGATAAAAATTGATGAAATGTGTGGTTAAAAGGTTGTGGATCCCATAAAACGTGTAGTTAAATTAATTGTTGACTTTGACTTAAGATTAAAATCAGATTTTAATTTGTCTGATTTTTAATGTTTCGAAAGTAAATACTAAATATTATGGTATAAATTATTTTATTACACTTTCATGGTTTCTTTCAAGGTGACAAAAATTGTTGATTGTTCGTAGTTTATATAAATTATGATTTAATTAAGAAATCATAAAATAATTTGGGACCGAAATAAGTTCGATTTTATGATTAAAATTAATTATTGACTTTAATTTGGACTAAAATTTAGATTTTAATATCTAACAAATAGGGCATAATATCCCTACAAAAAGAGAGGAGTTCATTTCTACTGTTACCTCTAAATGTTCACATATTGTTCATTAGGCGTCATTTCCTTATTGCCATGACGTCTTTGCAATTCGTGTCAACCATGTTATATGTATATTAAGGCTTTGTTTGAGCCTCATTTAAAAAATATATATATATATTTTTTTCAAAACTTGCTTCTAACCACACATTCTCCAATAAAATAATTTTACATGTAAATTGAAAAAAAAAATTCTTACTTTTTAACAACACATTCTCGATAAAAATCACTATTCAAAAATATTTTTTCCCAAAATGGGGCTCAAACAAGGGCTATATAATTATGATTTGAATTATGCTGTTTTGTCAGTTGAATTTGACACATTGGTTGACGATGAAGTTGTGGTAAAAATGATCGGATAACATTGTTGACTGATTTTTAAACAGTCAATGAAATTCTGTCATGTGGTATTTTTGTTATCTTACATGTCATCCAAAGTATTAGTGTAGCATGATTGTTACGATTTTGCGACTTATTATTTTAGTGAAAATTTCAAAAATATATATGAAATTTCTATAAATTTATTAATTAGGACTTGTTTAGTTGAAAGTCGAAACTATGAAAAATAATCTAACTTTTACATTTCGAAAACTTGAAAATTGTATAATTGATTAACGGCAGAAATTATTAATTAAATATAGTATTTTATAATTTTAGATGTTTTGTACGTATTATTTTAATTATTAAATAAATTTTAGAAAATTTAAAATTTAAAATAATATTAAAAATAAGAAAACATTTTTTTTTATAAAGCTTGAAATTTAGCCACAACGTCTAGCCACGCTTTATAATTTTTAGAACAATAGTCGACGCTTTTACTTGTAACCAACGTTTTAAAATGCCAGCTTAGGCATACACCTTTTTGTCAAGCGGTACATTTTATTTTGAAATTCAGTCCATCAAAATGCTCTACTACTAAAACTTAAAAAGGAAAATAAGTCTAACAAAATAATTATCCTAGCTCGAACCTCATCCATGAACATAGATTTCTCTGCCCACGAACAAAGTATTATAGATTTGGGATATTTACGATTTAGAGAATTATGCTTTTCTTGGAAATTTGAAAAATATGTATGAAATTTCTACAAATTTCGAAGGTTTGCGTTATTTCCATCTATTAATTAGTATAAAATAATCAAGATATTATTAAAAATAGACATTGCATTATTTCACTTAGGCTCGTAAGATTGGGACTTGACATTCATGTCTTACACCCTTTAAAACCTTGCTTATAACAAAGTGTATTACACACATTTTTGACATATTTATACCATCAACGCGATCATGCCACCACCACTACTTGTGACATTCCACCATTGTCACGATCATTGTTGCACATTCATTATTACACTACCCCCACCATCGATGCCACGATCGGCACCACCACCTCCAATGCCGCCACAAATAACCACAAACCAACATTAGTTCTGGAAATAGATATATAATTAGAGGAAGGAGAATATCTACACTATTATCACTAACAACCATTCACTATCGTCGCCATCACATACATGTTCCCACCGTCTCTCACCATCACAATAACCACCTTCTAAATGACATTCACCATCCTCTCCCTATTTTCCCACCCCAAGGGAGGAGTTTGAATCTGCCACCAAGGATGGCATTGACACCTCATACAACGATAGACCGGCCCTCGGTGGTGGAGCCGACAATGGTAGAAGAAGAAAAGTCGAATTCCACGATGTTCCAATGATATCTATAATAATGGTGGCAGATTGGTTGTTTGTGTGCGTTTTACCGTATATGGAGAATTAATTCAATCGATAGTAAATGTAGATCTTTTTAAAGATTTTAGAGTGTTAACGTAATTATCCATAGAAGCAAAATACTTTTCAAAAAAGAGTAATAATATTCATAACTGGCGATATAATATTTAAATGATATTAATTGATTTGTTACCTTATTAAGATTTCAATCAATTAAAGCAATCAAAGCCATGTTTAGCCTCCATTTTATATAATTCATTTTTCCCCAAACTTATATTCAGTAGCACATTTCATTATCAACTTCTATTAAAAACTTTAAAAAATATAGTTTTTAACTAAATCAAACATGGACTAAACGGTGTATCATAGCTCGCCGATAAACCCTGCATGAATTAGTATTTCAAAAAGTAGAGCTTGGTTTGTGACCCACATGTCCTGTTCGTGGCCACTTTTTTATGTGTTGGTCCAACCCAAACTGACCCTAAGCTACCTGTCCAATCCAAATTCCATTCGATCCGAATACCGAGTGATAGAATTTGTATAAAGCGGGTCACTACGCACGACTCGTTCTTCCCATATCTGACGGAAACTACAATATAAAGTTTCCACCAACAGACTCTCCGTCTTCCAAGCAAATACCTTCACTATACCGTCATTTCTTCATACCATTTTCATCTCTTCACAGTAACTTCACGCACACAAAAATGTCTTCTTCAGGTGCAACGCCGGGGCGATTGGCCTCCGAATACAGCGAAGTTCAATCTAGCCGCCTCAAAGTGACACTCCCTTTGCCGTCGGTTTTAAAAACCGCCTTCGAAATCGTGGATGGCCCCCCTAGTTCCGCCGCTGGAAATCCAGGTTTGTTTTGTAATAAACATCTCATCTACTGTTTCTCTTGCATGTATTTCGTGTTCATGTTCTGTTTGTAAATCAGTCCGTCAGTATATTTGTTTCTTTTGATACATGTCGATCTCCGCTCTCCCGCTTAATTAACCTGGTGTTTACGTGTATGTTATCTGTAAAATAGGGAATAATGATGCCGATGCACGCACATGCATCTGCATTTGTATGTCTAGATTCCCGGATTATGATGGAATACTGTGCCTGTAATACTAATTGAGTCACGATCAATTACTATAAAATGGTTTATAGATGATTCCATCGATTAGAATTGAGGAGCAAGTGAAATGAGTGAAAACATTGATGCTATGGGGTGCTTTAACAATATTTAGTGCGTGAAGCTTGACATTTCCCCACTGGGTGTGCGCGTGGAGGGAATGGGTGTAGAGTCAGCCAATGCCCCACCACGCCATCAGATCCACCATTGCTAGACTGATCCTTAAAAGTGAGGGAGGCAGGCGTATAATGTTGCCTTGTTTAAATGTGTACGGAATTAAATAGAAAAATGTATGCATCTAGCATGGAAATGTTGATGTATTCACTAATATGATATCAATAGATGAAATTGCAAAGCTTTTCCCAAACCTCTTCGGGCAACCATCAGCATCGCTGGTGCCTGGTGATTCGTCTGGAGCTGCTTCTAACCAGAGCTTAAAGATTGGTGTTGTGCTTTCTGGAGGACAGGCTCCTGGGGGACATAATGTCATATCTGGGCTCTTTGGTAAGTTATTTGATTTTCTTATTTTTGAATTACGATTGTAGAATCTGAGTTTCAGTTTTATTCCAGTTTGAGTGTGCTATTTTTCTTGCTCTGGCTCTAGATTATTTGCAGGAACGAACAAATGGTAGCACATTATATGGTTTTAAGGGTGGCCCAGCAGGGATAATGAACTGTAAATATGTCGAATTGACAACGGACTATATTTATCCTTATAGGAACCAGGCAAGAATTCTTCATTGATTTCTTTAGCTTCACGAAGTTCTGATACAAATGGCTTTTCCAGTGATCTTATTCGATTGTATACTAGCTTATTCATTCAATAGATGTACATATGTGACAGGAAATAAAAGAACTATGTTCTTGCAGTTTGTAGATATTCAAACAGGATTATAGAAGAGAACTTAGTTATTACATCAAAGAATTATTTTTTATCTTTCAATGAATCTAGAGAGTTTCACTTCCTTGTATGGCAGTATGTTTTTTATAACTGTTCCTCTTTCTAACAGGGTGGCTTTGATATGATCTGTAGTGGGAGAGACAAGATTGAAACCCCTGAACAAGTACATTTATTTTTCTTAAGTTCCATGTATTCTAAGCATTATCATTACGAATTTTCACCATGAATTCTGACCTTTCAGTTTAAGCAAGCTCAAGAAACAGCAAAAAAGCTTGATTTAGATGGACTTGTTGTCATTGGGGGTGATGACTCGAACACCAATGCTTGTCTTCTTGCTGAAAATTTTAGGTAAATATTTTTCTCACTAGATCTTATTTGTTTCTCTTGAGACCTCCTTATAAACGTTTTCATTGATAAACCATTGCAGGGGAAATAATATGAAAACTCGGGTTATTGGATGTCCTAAGACAATTGATGGTGACTTAAAATGCAAAGAAGTTCCCACGAGTTTTGGTTTTGACACAGCATGCAAGGTGGCCATAATTTCAATGGGGTTTTGTATTTTTTGGCCTCTTTTTCTTATTATTATGCAATCAACTATGTTGCTTGTTGTTTTTAATTTTGCTATTTTGTCACCTCGCATTGGTTGGTTCCCTTTATTGAGACAAAATTTCGTAAGAGTAATGATTTCGTCAAAATCCCCTTGTTTCTTGGTTTTCTCTTTGTACTTTTTTATTTTGTAATGCCATTAGGAAGTTTGTTTTATATGTGATGAACTATACATTGTTTTAGGCTTTTGATTACTCATTTTGTAATTTTTTCAATCATAGCGTTAACTAGATTACTATGAAATGGAATTTCTTTCCATTTTTTCAACCAGGCAAGAGACTTAACTCGTTCCTATTCTGAGAATGCAGATATATTCAGAAATGATTGGAAATGTTATGACAGATGCTCGTTCAACTGGAAAATATTATCACTGTAAGTGCACATATAGTTTCTGATGACTTTTATTCTGTCTTGGCCAATTTTCAGTGATTGACAATCCCTCTTTGATATTTATTTTAGTCGTGAGGCTTATGGGCCGAGCTGCGTCTCACATTACATTGGAGTGTGCTTTGCAGACTCATCCAAATGTTACCATTATTGGTGAAGAGGTACTTAGTTATTCTTTCTCATATATGTGTGGTAATTTGTTGACCGTAATAGACTTATTACTTTCTGAGCACTTAACTTCTAGCCATATTTGTGGAACTCTTACTTTGCTACTTCTTATGTGAAATTGTTGGTGCAATACAAATTTGCTCATATATGGCATAATTCTCCTCATATAACTTGTGTGTCGCATATAAGAAAATTTCCACATGTATTGCTTTGCTCCCATGGATATCGACTACAAAACTTTAGGTAATTACAGACAAGGTTTGTCTTGCTGCAGGTTGCAGCCCAGAAGCAGACTTTGAAGAGCGTTACAGATTATATTACGGATGTGATTTGCAAACGTGCTGAAGTTGGATACAACTATGGGGTCATCCTTATACCAGAAGGCCTGATTGATTTTATCCCTGAGGTTTGTGCTCTTACTTTGAGCCATGTTCTTCCTTTAGAATGATAGTATATGTATAATTGTTGACATCAATTTCCTCATTTTGCAGGTGCAGCAGCTTATTTCAGAGCTTAATGAAATCCTTGCTCATGATGTTGTTGATGAAGGTGGAATGTGGAAAAAGAAACTTAGGAACCAATCTCTTCAGCTCTTCGAATTTCTGCCTCAAGCAATTCAGGAACAACTACTACTAGAAAGAGATCCTCATGGAAATGTTCAGGTACTTTATGCTATTTGTACTGTTGTCAGTTAATAATACTGAAGATTAATGACTGGCACCTCCGTTCTTCTAACTGGTTAATTTTCTCTCTTTGTTTAGGTTGCTAGAATAGAAACAGAAAAAATGCTTATCCAAATGGTGGAAACTGAGTTGGATTCCAGAAGGAAGCAAGGTTTATATAATAAAGAATTCAAGGGACAGTCTCACTTTTTTGGGTAATTGTTAACTTTTGGCCTGTTTTTAGGTTCAAACATAGAACATCAAATTCCTAGCTCCCTGGGTATCCAAAAAAAAAAGAAAAAAAAAGAAAAATAGGAGGTATAATTGCTAATTAATTCTTGGTGTCATTTATTTTTTCTTTTAACAGTTATGAAGGTAGATGCGGGTTGCCTTCAAACTTTGACTCCAACTACTGCTATGCATTGGGTTATGCTGCAGGTGCTCTCCTTCAGAATGGAAAGACTGGCCTGATTTCCTCAGTTAGTGTTTTTTTTCCTCGACATAATTCTCTTATACATGTTCTACTCAATTTTTATTTCACATAATTCTGCCGTGTGCAATACTTTAGTTTCCAACACCAATAATCATATAATTTGTTATGCCTTAGTAATTTATGCAATGACATATGATCCAGGTGGGGAATTTGGATGCTCCAGTTGAAAAGTGGACTGTAGGTGGAACAGCATTGACTTCTCTGATGGAAGTGGAGAGGAGACATGGTATTTTTCCTTTTTATTTTCTTTCTATATTATTTTTAGATTTCACTGCCAACCCGACTCTCCTTTTGTTATGCACTCAATTCTTCTCTGTTCTATAATTGTAAAAATTAATATTTGTGCAGGGAAATTTAAACCTGTGATTAAGAAGGCAATGGTGGATCTTCAAGGTAATTAATATTGTATTTGACACACTGCTAGTAAACATTTTATCCATTTTTTTTCCTAGGGCTGGTTTTTGAGCTCCAATGTTTAACACACTTCTCTAAAATCCCAGCTGCTCATTTCAAAAAGTTCGCATCCATGAGAGATGAATGGGCCCTGAAGAATCGATATTTCAGTCCAGGTAAATGTAATAACAGTTTAATCCTGCTTTTGAATCCAATTTTGCAATGCTCCTTTGGCAAAATTTCTTTGTATATCCTATATTAGCCTCCAAATGAAATTACTTCGGAAATCCCTTACGCACTTGGTATCATTTTATCATCTTATACATAAGTAGGGAATGCTACATACAAATCTTGGTAGTTTTTCTCTTGTAATATGCACGTGTGACTCTCTCCAGCAAAGAGAAGTCATATTTCCTCTTACTTTGGTGCATTTTTATGAGAGAGAGACTCATTTTCCGATTGAGCTTGTAGGAATTTTTATTCTTTTTGTAAAAACTGCCCTATGGAATCACCCTTATGATGAGAAGTAAAAAACTCCTTTAGGATTTTATTACTTTGGGATTTCATTGAGGAAAGCAAGAGAAGGGAGGAGGTTCTATTTATATACCTACACCTGCTACTCCTGCTCAAGCGATTTTCAACTCTTGAGCAATTGTAGGTTGAATATATTAAAACGTTACGCTGAAATAACCCATTTTTTTCCCGAAAATAATGATAATTTGGAAACTTGTTAGATATATCAGATTTGCATGCTTTGACTTGTGTCAAATATTTTAACAGGTCCTGTTCAGTTCATTGGCCCGACATCGAATGACATCAATCACACTCTAATGCTGGAACTTGGTGCCCAGGCTTAGAATTTCAGTCGGATTCCTCCCCCCCTACTTGGTGCATATGTACAATTCTCTTAATAAGATATATTGATGCAAGATTTACAGAAAGATGTGTGCATGTAACACTAATTTCTCGAAGAGTTAAAGTTTTGTTTGTGCATGTGCTGGGATTACCTCACTATTTTATCTGTCTTGATGTGGATTTTTGTACACAAAATATAAGCTTAGGGTGTGATCTATGGTCTTTATTAATATATAAACCTTATTAAAATGGGAAAATCCAGTCTAGGTAGATGGAGCTGAACAAGAAAAAGAGAATTAAATATTTGTAAATTAGACAATCTATGTGATTTGTGGTTGGTCCATGCCCGTTTGGTCCCCATTATTGGAAATTGTAATTTTTGGTATATGATTTTTTTTGGAGAATGTATGGTTGAAAAAAGAGGAAAAATTTTCAATTCTAATATTATTTGTAGAAGATCGTGCGGTTAAAAATAAAAGAGAGAATCATAATTTTTTGGAATAACGGGCCAAAACGGATTTCTCTTCATTTTGTAACCATTTGAAAGTCAAGATCCTATTTATCACGCCACCCATAGAAAATGACTCGAATGTTAGCGTTACAGAGGGCTAAATACTTATTTTATCCTTAAGGTTAGGTTACCTATATATCAGGCTAAATTGCCATATGTCATTCGTTGTATGTCCTCTTTGTTCAACTAAAAAATTAAATTTAAATTCAAATTGAAATTAGCATTTAATTTTAATGAAATTCACTTTTTTTTTTTATTATGCATTTCATCAACTTTTATCGAAATTTAATAAAATTTTGGTTTTTACCTAAGTAGGGCTAATTTTATTTTTGACAGAGTGGGTGGGTTAGATAGAAGTATTGGTCATAGTTAAAAGATAATTATTTTGAAAGTAATTTTATTGTTTAAAATTTTTCCAATTTATTAATATTTTAGTCATAAATTATATTCCTGCTAGGTAGGTGGCGAATTGGGGGCTATTAATTAGTATTAAAGGATAAGAATATATACCTACAAACTACTAAAAATAAATAAAACTGTCATTAAGGATTTTAATTAATCCCAAAGTGGTCCAAAACTAGCCTATCGATTTTAGCTAGAAGGATGCTGGTTAACCAAATTTAGAGCCGTCTCCTAGTCGATAAACGTTTTTTTTTTTTGAAGAGCTATGATTTATAGTTCATCATTTTTAATTCTTTCAAACGGGTTGGAGTTTCTCAATCCATATTGAGAGAATAAAAAATAAATGGCCTCAAATCGAGGCAATTTTTAGCTTATTGTCGACTTTCCTAACAATTATAGCTGTCGATTTAGCGTATTAGCCTATGTTCGACTCATGTTTCTTACTTTTCATAAACATTTCGAAAGATCCATAAATATTATCTATCTATGCACCAATCAATTCTATTTACACACTTTCAAAACTGTATATAAACAGTAATCCTCAAGTAAATTTATTTTCAATTATTCAATACACTACCTTGGGTTAAAATTTAACCTCAAGTAAATTTAGATATCAAACTTCAATGCTCTATAGTCTTGACTGTGGCCCCCACCTGCCACCAGTCACCATGGTAGCTGTTGAGTTTAATACAATGTTAGGCAAGAATCAGATGGCTTTCCTCAGCCATTTCACCGTTGCTTGGTGACCTGTGACATCCACCCCAATCCTTCATTACAATAATGACACGTTAAATATTGTATATTGTATAATACCGAACAATAATAAAAACGAAAAAAGAAGATAAATTCTTGTTTATATTATAACACTGTTAAATATGCTATAAGAGCATGTTTAGCACCCGACCACAGGGTGTATATATGCATCTATTAGAACATTTTCAATTATGGTGTAAAATAAATTTAAATTATGATTTAGACATTTAAAGTGGTCAGAAATCTCTCCAATGGAGAGATGCAAATGAAATGCATACTACGTTTTGAAAGTTGCTAATTCAACCTCAAAATCACCTAATAAGTGAATAATGCGGAATTAAAATTATTAATTTAAAGCAAACAAATCACTTCTTTATTGTGCTAGATGTTTAGTCAATCAAGTCAAGTTATACTATGTTGGATTGCTATAATAATAAATAAAGTAGTAAATAACAAAAGATTTTTTGATGAAGAAAACTCTTAACCGGGTAAAAACTTTGTGACCAAATCAGCAGTTTTCACTAAGACAATAAGAACTTACAATATGTTCTAGTCTAGAAAATCCATGAGACTCGTTGATCTAATTCCCGCAATTTTCAAGACCCACTGGAATGTGCTTTACTCACACATGCTCTTGATCTACTGGAATTGTCTATTTCATATGGATCACCAAATTTCTCATTCTTCAGCAACCTCTGAAAGCTATTGATAAAGTATATTCCATGTTATATATAAGAAGTGGCTGTTTTTGATTATATGAACTTGACGTTTTCCCTACTCGTGGTTGATTGATCTCACGAATCAAATGTTTAATCTGAATTTTTGGATGTGTTCTTGAATCTTAGAATGCTGTTATGAGAATGAAATATAATGATCAACCACCCCCAAGAACATAATGAGCATTGAGTATTTATAATATGAGGTATTTAAATAGTATATGATAGATAGAACTCTTAAAAAACTCAAACTAGAGCTTCACGTATAACATTGTCACTCGAATGCCAGGTTAGCAACGGCGAGTGAGAGGTGTGTCATTCGAGTGAGAGGCGAGCGACAATGATTCTGCTTTGAATGCTCGAGCATCAGTTTGGGGACAGACTATCGTAAAACTGGCGACTCTTTCTCCTTGTTCCATACTCGAACTCAAAGATTCGTAGTTTTATCTGTACGACTCTCCAAAAGACTCATTGACTTTTACAACTGTTTTATAACAATCATTTTCTTTTATAATAATCTTTTTGTCTAAAGAATTATCAATACAATATAAGCCCTAACAATCTCCCCATTTGACATTCTGTGATAAAAGTATACAATACAAGTTAAGGAAGTAAAAACAAATTAATTTACCCAAACTCAAACTTAATGTATGTTTTTTGCTTTCCTTGAAAAACTTATTTTCTGAAATCAATAACTCAAATACCAAGTGTAAAAGTAAGTGATACATGAAATGTAACAATTGAAACAAATACTCATAAATATGCTACCTTAATTGAGAAGTAATATTAATGTTAATCAAAACATCAACTCAAATATTAATATTATAAAACATTTAAATTCAATAAAGCTAACAATTGAAATACTATCAACTCTTCCAATACTATCATGAAATAATATCGTCTCCCCGTTACTGCAAACTCTCTAAAATTCAATTAAATTAGACAAAAAATGCCCATTTCATATCTCCCAATTTTGTTACAAATGACGAACGAGACTACATCAACAATATATAATAACTCAAAAATGCACTTGATAGCATGCACAACTATAATCAATGATCAACAAACTTTTCCATATACTCAATTCAAGTCTAAATGGAGTAAATTGTATAAGTGACTCATGTGTATAAAATGACACTAATTCCTTGTGATCAAGACTACAAACCTTAAATTTGTGAAAGAACATGATAAACATCATTGTTAAATAAATTTATTCCCCTAATAATGAAAGTCACACCAATAATGCATATTAAGACCTATAATTGAAACTCATTTTTCATGTATATTATTCTTTCCTCCCCCTAACTTTGTGAACATATATATATTTTCGCACAGTTTCTATTTTTCTTTTTAATCTCATCATTTTTCTTTTTAATTTTTTTATATTTTATGTACAAACTCTTCTCTATTAAGCTACTAAGATGATCTATATGACAAGTTTTCGATTGATGACTCCAAATCAGTTGACCATAAGGCATCAGATTATGAAAAATCCCCCGAACTTAATTGCTCGAGTTAAATAGAGTTTGAAGAAGAGTTTAAGATAAAATATTTTTTTTATTTAAAGGAATATAATAGAGTTTGAGTCTACTAAATTAAGGTCAATCCATATTCAATGTCACTTTACCA